CACTCTTTTATGACTCCTAAATAATCATTGTACAGCAAGCGGTGAAAAGCGTTTATAGCACTTTTCAATGACTCCTTAACAACCGGATAGAAGCAACTTTTATACAACGTTTATAGATACATATTTAAAGTCAAGCTTTATTGTTTTGGTGAAAGCTCTAATACAACGTTTGTAGACAGCTCCTAACAGCTGCTTCGAAATGTATTAGAGATTGAACCTGAGAGGCGTTTGTTACACTCTTTTATGACTCCTAAATAATTACTATACAGCAAGCGGTGAAAAGCGTTTATAGCACTTTTTAATGACTCCTTAATAACCGTTGTGTAAGTACTCACAATATTCACCGATTAAAATTAGTTTAACAATTGTCGTGGTACGCCAAAATAATTGCTTGTACAGTTTTTATTAATTTAATTTATTTGTGCACATTGAAAAAATATGTAATTATGCCATAATTCACATTCTGTGATCATGGAGGAAGTAGTAACAAGCATCTGTTTAATCTTTGATTGATATTCTTTCAATTAATCTCTCTAATCATTATTTGAGAGAATTTATCTAGAAATGTTATCGTTGATTATATGATATATGTCTTAAATTAATGTTTGCATTTATTAATAACACCTATATATAATTTACCTCTACTCCACCAAAGGTTTCTCGAAGCAAGATTCGAACTCATGATCCCGGATTGCCAGCCGCTTCTGTTTCCATCTGCTCTATTCTTGAATACATATTTTGATCATATGAGAGGAGTATATCAAGCTCATCTTGAGTAACTTCTCTTGCAGTCGAATAATCATTGCCTTATGGTTATATAAACATGCCTATCACTTGTGCTATTTTTAGCAACAAAATTGTGGTTGGTCGAACGTAAACAATCATTTAAGAGTGCTCCAAGCAGCTTTTGAAGCTTTTAACCAAATGGCAATACAACTACATTCTTGTACAACTCTGGAAGCTATTATTCAACGTTTGATCAACTCAGGTGTTTTATAAGAGCTCCTAATGGTTTGTTTTGATCCGTTTATTCCACATCCCATATGGCTCCTGTCAAACAGTTTAACCGAACGTAAACAATCATTTAAGAGTGCTCCAAGCAGCTTTTGAAGCTTCTAACCAAAATAGCAATACAACTACATTCTTGTTCAACTCTGGATGCTATTATTCAACGTTTGATCAACTCAGGTGTTTTATAAGAGCTCCCAATGGTTTGTTTTGATGCGTTTATTCCACATCCTATATGGCTCCTGTCAAACAGTTTAACCGAACGTAAACAATCATTTAAGAGTGCTCCAAGCAGCTTTTGAAGCGTTTAACCAAAAAGGCAATACAACTACATTCTTGTACAACTCTGGAAGCTATTATTCAACGTTTGATCAACTCAGGTGTTGTATAAGAGCACCCAATGGTTTGTTTTGATGCGTTTATTTCACGTTCTATATAGCTCTTGTCAATCAGTTTAACTAAGGTGCTATAAAAGTTATCGTAGGTCTTATAAAGCATATAGGTAAACCGAACGTAAGCAATCATTTAAGAGTGCTCCAAGCAGCTTTTGAAGCGTTCAACCAAAAAGGCAATACAACTACATTCTTGTACAACTCTGGAAGCTATTATTCAACGTTTGATCAACTCAGGTGTTTTATAAGAGCTCCCAATGGTTTGTTTTGATGCGTTTATTCCACATCCTATATGGCTCCTGTCAAACAGTTTAACCGAACGTAAACAATCATTTAAGAGTGCTCCAAGCAGTTTTTGAAGCTTTTAACCAAATGGCAATACAACTACATTCTTGTACAACTCTGGAAGCTATTATTCAACGTTTGATCAACTCAGGTGTTTTATAAGAGCTCCCAATGGTTTGTTTTGATGCGTTTATTCCACATCCTATATGGCTCCTGTCAAACAGTTTAACCGAACGTAAACAATCATTTAAGAGTGCTCCAAGCAGTTTTTGAAGCTTTTAACCAAAAGGCAATACAGCTACATTCTTGTTCAACTCTGGAAGCTATTATTCAACGTTTGATCAACTCAGGTGTTGTATAAGAGCTCGCAATGATGCGTTTATTCCACATCCTATATGGCTCCTGTCAAACAGTTAAACCGAACGTAAACAATCATTTAAGAGTGCTCCAAGCAGCTTTTGAAGCTTCTAACCAAAAAGGCAATACAACTACATTCTTGTTCAACTCTGGATGCTATTATTCAACGTTTGATCAACTCAGGTGTTTTATAAGAGCTCCCAATGGTTTGTTTTGATGCGTTTATTCCACATCCTATATGGCTCCTGTCAAACAGTTTAACCGAACGTAAACAATCATTTAAGAGTGCTCCAAGCAGCTTTTGAAGCTTCTAACCAAAAAGGCAATACTACTACATTCTTGTTCAACTCTGGAAGCTATTATTCAACGTTTGATCAACTCAGGTGTTGTATAAGAGCTCCCAATGGTTTGTTTTGATCCGTTTATTCCACATCCCATATGGCTCCTGTCAAACAGTTTAACCGAACGTAAACAATCATTTAAGAGTGCTCCAAGCAGCTTTTGAAGCTTCTAACCAAAATAGCAATACAACTACATTCTTGTTCAACTCTGGAAGCTATTATTCAACGTTTGATCAACTCAGGTGTTTTATAAGAGCTCCTAATGGTTTGTTTTGATGCGTTTATTCCACATCCTATATGGCTCCTGTCAAACAGTTTAACCGAACGTAAACAATCATTTAAGAGTGCTCCAAGCAGCTTTTGAAGCGTTCAACCAAAAAGGCAATACAACTACATTCTTGTACAACTCTGGAAGCTATTATTCAACGTTTGATCAACTCAGGTGTTGTATAAGAGCTCCCAATAGTTTATTTTGATGCGTTTATTCCACGTTCTATATAGCTCTTGTAAATTAGTTTAACTAAGGTGCTATAAAAGTTATCGTAGGTCTTATAAAGCATATAGGTAAACCGAACGTAAACAATCATTTAAGAGTGCTCCAAGCAGCTTTTGAAGCGTTTAACCAAAAAGACAATACAACTACATTCTTGAACAACTCTGGAAGCTATTATTCAACGTTTGATCAACTCAGGTGTTGTATAAGACTCCCAATGGTTTGTTTTGATGCGTTTATTAAACGTTCTGTATAGCTCTTGTGAATCAGTTTAACTAAGGTGCTATAAAAGTTATCGTAGGTCTTATAAAACATATAGTTAAACCGAACGTAAACAATCATTTAAGAGTGCTCCAACAGCTTTTAAAACTTTTAATCAAATGGCAATACAACTACATTCTTGTTCAACTCTGGAAGCTATTATTCAACGTTTGATCAACTCAGGTGTTTTATAAGAGCTCTCAACTGTTTGTTGGGACCCCTCATTTTATCTGTCAAACTTTCATAGCGAATCAAAACAAACATTGCGTAGTACTAGAATTTCGAATAGAATGGGATACGTTAATCGTTTCCTTGGGACCAATAGGCTAGTCAAGTAGCGAGCCAATTTAGGCTCTGAACCATTTGGCGAATTATTTTAACTTTTGGTTAAAATTTGACAGATGGAAAGTTATCGAATAACCCTGCTATCCGAGCGTGGTTAATTCTGACAGACAAGAAGTTAAATTTTGACAACTGTGGCTCGAAAACCGGTCGATCGACAGCACGGGGATTTTCGAACATAAGAAATAACTTTCGAAATGTCACTTTTAACCACGAGTTGAATTTAACTCGGCAAATGGTTCACAGCCTTAAAATCGTTAGTTTCGTATTGATTGTTGCTTTTACTGTAGGGCTTTACTCTCGCCAAATTTGCGAAGGAAGAACCAAGGCGGAACAACTAACAAAAAATCCCAAGGGGGTATTTCCTCGGCGTATCACCAGTGTTGGCAGTTCAATGAAATTATCAGGGCGTACGATGTTTTCTTCTCAATTTCACGGCAAAAAAAAAACTTGTTTTGAGTTTTTAATGATGCATGATGATAGATTACACTATTAAATATATGTCAAGCTAATAAAATCATCCAGAAAATTTTAAGTCGTGAAATAGGATTCATTTTTGGGTCATCAAAATTCGGAAGCGATTTTCTCGATATGGTGATTTTGGAATTCCGCCCTTTTCAAATGTTAGTCTAGATCTTCTGTCGAACTGTGCTGCGAGCTTATAGCGAGAAATTCGACAGTGAATATTCTACCGATTTCCATTGGATATCTATAGAAAATATAATATATTTCGGCATCCCCCAGAAATCTTTCTCCCAACTTCTCCTAGAATTTTCTATCGACTGTCCCATAAACCCTCTGGCTTTCGACTTTCTCCAGAAGTTTCTTCCAAACTACCTCAGGAAATTTCTTCCAGCGCCTCCAGGAAGTTTCTTCCGTCTTCTCCAGAAAGTACCAATCGAATTCTCCCAGAAGTTTCTTTCGTCTTCCTCTGGAAGTTTCTCCATAAGCATCCGATTTCTCTTGGGGGCGTTTTCAAACATGTTCAATGTTTTTTTTCCGAAAGTTTGTTTAAATTTTCTCCAGACGTTTCTCAATAAATTTTCTTGGAAGTTCCCCAGATGTTTTTCGACTTTTCATCAAACTTTCTTCAAACTTCCTCCAGAAGAGCTGCTTTCTTCTTTCTCTAAAAGATTTTTCAGCTTGCCTCAGAAGCTAGTCCAAACATTGGTCGGAAATTCCTTCCGACTCGGAGATTCCTCCCGAGGAATTAAAAATTAATTAAAATAGTTAATACCGATTTTTTGAAACCTAAGCTTGAAAAAAATGTGACACCATTGGGAAGAGACCGACGCAAAATAAACAAGAATTAAAAAAGATTGGAAAATATCAAAGATCTTCTGAGAGCATTCCGAGGGAATGTAGAGTGAAATTATAGATGTAGCTAGATTTGATTGGAGGGATTTCGGGGAATTCCGTGCCGATCGCGAGAAATGCCAAATTTGGTGGAAAATCCTTAAGACCTTAAACTTCAGTTGATTCGAACCACCGCCGTCATCAATCTCAAATGAAAGTCATTCATTTCGCTCTAAAACAACATCATTTCTCTATATTAGCTGACCAGTGTGTTACAGTTGTTTGTGGTTTGTGGCATTTTTGCAAAAGAAAAGCACAATTTTCGAAACATTTTTGTCCTCGATACCAATTATTTGCTCCCGGTCCTGCGTGTTCAGTGGTGCGACGCATCCGAGGCGGACGTCTTACCGTACTGCTTCTCCCACCAGGCAACGTATTCCTCCTTGCGCTTCTCGCGACGGGCAAAGTACTCCGGGAATTGGGCCTTCTCCAGTGGGTGCCAGTAGTCCAGAACCCAGTCCGGGGGAATCACCTCACGCTCGAACGCAACACCACCGGGGGACATGGGGACTAAAACGAAAACACATATCAAGTAGAACACTCACAATATGGGATGGCTGCCAACCAGCTTACATTTCTTCGGTTGGAAGTGCTGCGTTTCGAACAGTTCCCGTTCGCCATCGATCAGCAGTTGAGCAATCTTGGCCGGATCGCGTTCGTTCTTGTGTTTGTCGAAGCGTTCCCGCATCAGCACGGCCTGGTAGCGGAAAATGTGCCTAAAATCAACGCAATCCTCATTTAGTGATAAACCCTCCGGGACTGTTTATTTTGAATAGCCATCGGGAGCAGAAAATTACATAAGCAAAGACATCGCCAGCGCTCGCTGCGAGACACTTACCTCCGATCATACCAGGACTCCAGGTTCCGGAGGGACTTTTTGTACAGTGAACAGACCCTGCGGGTGTGGGCGACCATAGCAGCCGTCGGACCGGACATTTTCGTCGGTTCCTTTCGATTAGTTCGTGATGGGAAAAGAAATTTGTTGCACTAACTTGCTGCTGTTCGATGCACGGACGTCGTCTCGCCGAAAATCATCAGCGCTAGATTTGACGTTTCGGCATAAAGCAACGTCGTCGGTGACCCCATGTGGCAAACCTATAAGAGTGTGAGTCCTACCCCTCGCCCTCTAGTGCTGTTTATTTTGACGTGGAGCTTGCTTGTTCATCGGTCATTCGAAAATCAAAACAACAGCAGTGAGAGATCGGAAGTTCTAGTGGAAAAAGTGTAATCCTCAGATAAACTTATACTGGGAATCTCTTGAAAACACGAATAACATAGTCAAAAATTGAACATGACTGCCGCCAACAAATATTCCATACTGCTTCCCACGTATAATGAGCGGGAGAATCTTCCCATCATAATCTGGTTAATCGTGAAATACATGCAGGAAGCGTAAGTAGCTCTACAGGATCCCGTTGCCACGTCCTAATGATAATTATTAAAATACCTCAGGAACATCGACTACGAAGTAATCGTCATCGACGATGGCAGCCCGGATGGAACGCTGGACGTTGCCAAGGAGCTGCAAAAGATCTACGGCGAGAACCGAATTCTTCTTCGGCCACGAGCCGCCAAGCTGGGTCTCGGAACGGCCTACATCCACGGTATGGAGCATGCCAACGGGAACTACATCATAATTATGGATGCCGATCTGAGCCATCATGTGAGTTAATCCCAGCATATTGTATTTAAAATGTGTTTCTAATCCAACTAAAATACCATTCCAGCCCAAATTCATTCCGAAATTTATCGACTTCCAGAAGGAAGCCGACTACGACGTCGTTTCCGGTACCCGCTACCTGGGCGACGGAGGTGTCTACGGATGGGACTTCAAGCGGAAGCTCATCTCCCGGGGAGCCAACTTTCTGACGCAAGTGTTGCTCAGACCGAAAGCGTCGGATTTGACCGGTTCCTTCCGGCTGTACAAGAAGGAAGTGCTGAAGGAGCTCATTTCCCGCTGCAAATCCAAGGGCTACGTCTTCCAGATGGAAATGATTGTGCGGGCTCGGCAGTTGAACTACACCCTCGGAGAGGTACCGATTTCGTTCGTCGATCGCGTCTATGGACAGTCGAAACTGGGCGGATCGGAGATATTCCAGTTTGCCAAGAATTTGCTGTACCTGTTTGCAACCACGTAGTCTCGTGGAGTTTAGCTGAATGTGTGCCGGTTGGTTGTAAATTTTATAACAGATGATGTAATAATTATTATGATGTAATACAGTCTTAGAAAGTGTATTTATATTAGCATTAAGATTTCTTAGACCAAGAGAAGACTTGGAGAAAATCATTTCCATTTTCCTAATTGTAGGGGACGGGACGGTTAAAAAATGACGGCGAAAACTTTTTCGCAAAAAACCCTGAAAGCCATTTCAGCAGTGAGCGTTCAGAAGGGCGTAATTTCAATGAGCGATGCTCTTCGACGATTTTCTCTTCTGTAGTAGATAACAGTTAGTCTCGGGGGGGAGAGGTAGCTCATCGATTCTTCCGGTTCGCCTCCTAGCACCGTGCTATAAGGTACCAGGCGATAACCAGGGTAGTTGATCGATAGCTCGATGACGTCTGCAATGGGAAATTCTCATAGCAGGCGTTGACGATGGGACGTTGTCGAGTTGTTGAATAGCAACTATCGTGGTAACTCACCGATTACCTGTCGATCTGCCAAATTTGGAAAGACGTCTGCATTGAATTGTCTCATATAATAATATTCCGCCCACTATATCACAAGAAATTGCGAGTAGCTGAGTGGAATGGAGATAAGTTAAGCATTGGGTACAGGACCAAGTCTCCCCTGGGTGGTGCCAAAAGATGAGCGCAATAGAATCATCAAGTTGCCATAAGGCACGGAATGAGACTATTGCATGGCTGGGTAGTCAAAGTCTTCCATTCGTTAGTCATTTCAGGTGGATTAGAACAGGTTTAGGTAGGCGTTGGCCAGATTTGGATTTTTCAGATGTAATCCTGGATAGGACCCTGTCATTGAACGTCGCGTGAAAGTGGAACTTAATACAGGCCTAAGTACTTTTTTGTAGTTTTTAGTTTTCGGATTTGAAAGATCGTCGGTTATACCCCGTTCACATTACAGCCTATATCACGTAATATAGGCTGTCTTGCAATGAGCACTCATACATAGGATTTCCAGTGAAAACTAGATGTATGAGTGCTCATTGCAAGACAGCGTATATCACGTGATATACGCTGTAATGTGAACGGGGTATTACAGTGGCCTGCTTACTGAGCAGAAAAACGCGGTCCCAGGTCCTTACATATCAAAGAGATTCATGGTAAAATCGCTTGTGTATCGTGTATTTTGCGAAACTCGTTGTTGTCGTTGGTTCCGGGTTTGAATGGATACACAAATTTGAGCAACGGTATTATGTGATATGAGGGGCTCGGTGGCCTTAGAGCAACCGTTTTTGCTTACTGAGCAGAACATCATGAGTCTAATCTCATGCCCATCCACATTCAAGATTCGTCAATCGTTTTATTTGTTAATATGACTACATGGTAATAACAGCAACTCGGTGATTAAAAAGGTTCTCGTCTGCCTAGTGGCAAACGTTTCTGCTTACTGAGCAGAAGACCGTGGGTTTAGTCCCAAGCTCCTTCGCGTTATATGATCGTTAGGACATCAATTCAGCTTATCGTTTACCAAAACGAACCCTGCTGCAAACCCAACCCTCTTATCCAACATCCCAGTGATTCCTCGTGGAAGTGCAGAGGTGTTCTCGGCTTCCATCAAAGCGAGTGTCATGTCAACACAATCCTTCCCATTCCTTTCTTGACCTGTGTTCGGGCGCGGCCGGCGCTGGTATTGCCTAATTTAAGATCACCAGTTTTTACACATTGAGGATGATTGCTAGTCCCAAGCATCGTCTATTGGTTCTCTGTGTAATTACAGCTGATCTGGCAGTAACAGAGTAGCAACCGTGGGCGGTCAATCAAGCTCAAGCTGTAGTAGATAACAGTTAGTCTCGCTTGGATTAACCTTTCTCGGTGCATTTGCTGTTGCTTTGGATAGCCAATACAACCTGTTACGACACTGTATTGGACCAATTTCAGAACATTGCTTCCCTTAGCTGTAACAATTTATAGAGCAAATCGAATCATCGCAGTTAGCTCATAGAGGTAACTCTAAGACCACTGGGTCCCGAAGAAAATCATTATTATTTTTGGCTCACTCAGTACCAGAACAACGGTCCCAAGCAGTCCCAAGCTATTTCACTCACCCCTGCATGTTCTGCATGAATCAACACACCCCTGATGTTATCTGTCAAACTTTCATAGCGAATTAAAACAAACATAGTGTAGTAATAGAATTTCAACTAGAATAGGGTACGTTAATCGTTTGCTTGGGACCAATAGGCTAGTCAAGTAGTCAGCCAATTTAAAATCGTTAGTTTCGTATTGATTGTTGGTAACTCTAAGACCACTGGGTCCCGAAGAAAATCATTATTATTTTTGGCTCACTCAGTACCAGAACAACGGTCCCAAGCAGTCCCAAGCTATTTCACTCACCCCTGCATGTTCTGCATGAATCCACACACCCCTGATGTTATCTGTCAAACTTTCATAGCGAATCAAAACAAACATAGTGTAGTAATAGAATTTCAACTAGAATAGGGTACGTTAATCGTTTGCTTGGGACCAATAGGCTACTAAAGTGGGGAGCCAATTTAAAATCGTTAGTTTCGTATTGATTGTTGGTGGTACTCTCTTCGGTCCCAAGCTAATCCATGCACGCCTCATTTTATCTGTCAAACTTTCATAGCGAATCAAAACAAGCATAGTGTAGTACTAGAATTTATACCAGAATGGGATACGGTAATCGTTTGCTTGGGACCAATTGGCTAGTCAAGAAGTGAGCCAATTTTAAATCGTTAGTTTCCACCGGTTGTTATAACTCTGTAGTCTGAACGTACTATAAGTCACCAAACAAACTTTCAATTATACCGGTACACAGCAAAAAAATGTAATATCGATCAATGTAATTCAAGCTGATGTATGAAATAATGATGTAATTGCAAAAATCAGATTCAATATTACATCAATGAATGTAATTTTGTTCGCAAAATCGATGTACATCGTACAACGTTATATTACACAACCGATGGATTGACCTGGTTGCAGCAGTTTGGATGTAATATTCAACAACTTTTTTTTTCTGTGTAGTTCATCCTACAATCGAAACTTCATTACTTATCTAGCTGGAAATTAAAAGTTGTCTACCAAGCCAGCCTTTGTTCCATTATTGTGTTGTATAAAATAACTAACGAAGAATATCTTGAAATATTTTTTCATTTAAATAAAACACGCTGTGATTTAAAGTAAAAAACAACTCAATTTTCAGTAAAAAAAAAAAGAACTCAACCGACATGTTTTCACCGTCGGATAGTTTTAACTTATTTTTGGATACAAATCATAGCTACCTGCGCTGATGTCGGTCCATTCATTTTTTGAATCGCCTCCGCTTCATAAGTCCGTTAATTTGTATCTTCTACTGCATCTTCTTCTTCTTCGCATTTCAAGCTTATTGCATATCGCATATAAGCTTATTGCGTGCTCTCAACTTAGTGTTCTAGGTGCACTTCCACAGTTATTAATTGAGAGCTTTCGATGCCTGTACCATTTTTGCATTGATATGATTATGTGGCAAGTCCAATCATACTTCTATGCCCAGGGAAGTCGAGAAATTTTCCAACCCGAAAAATTCCTAGACCGAACCGGAAATCGAACCCAGCCACCTCCAGCATGGTCTTGCTTTGTAGCTGCGCCTTTACCGACTGAGCTAAGTAAGGCCCTTAGCTTCTACTGCAGGTTGATTCAAATAAATTCAATTTGACTTTGATTTCTAATATGAAGAAAGGAAAATTATACAAAATGGTATAAATTTTACCAATTCCATTCAATTGATCGTTAGGTAATTTTCATTCACTAGTTTCTTCTTTAACTTTATTCTACCTAGCCCCATGGAAGCCACGTGTTGAGTGAAAGGAACTCAATTTTGGGAACTTTTTTCTTACCGTGAATACCAATCAGTGCTGACAGTAATTTTGTACACATATAAATCAAAAAACCAACCCTTAACATGAAAATCAACCAATAAGCGACTGGATCAAAAAGTGGATGCAAATCTATATCTCTCCCCCAGGACAGGACCAGAGAAGTCCAGCTTCCACTGCAATCAACTGCAAGTATTCGGTAAACAAAAAATCACGGAAACTCATTCGGGCAAAAAGTTATGTACAATCCATTCGGAACAAAAGTCCAATTCCATAAAGGAAAAATTACACCGAGCATGCCTTGTGCCTTCCTACCCCTTGCTACGTGTTTGAAAGCTTCACGCTTTGACGTTTTCCTTTCGCGTTATTTATTGCTTTTTGTTCGCCTCCGCGGAGTTTGTTGTCCATATCCAATCCTAAAGCGCGATCATTCGTTCCGTCCCGTCCGCCCATCCGCGTTCCGCTTCTTGTGATCATGATGCCCGAAAGTCACGATCGGATGCGTCATTTTTCGACATTTTTTATTTTGATTTCCCCCTATACGTTTTCACGCAGTCCGCAGTGTTCAGTTTGGTAGTTTTTCCACTCTCTTTTCGACGACAATCATTTGCGGTTCGTTCGTTGGTTCAATCGGTCAGTGTTCGTCAGTCAGTACCTGCAGTGAGTGTGTTGTTGGCTTGTAGGGGGAAACCACCGGAGGCAGCTCAGCCCCCGAACTAAGCCAGCGCGGATGGTGGCCGTCTGCCTGGCCATAGGTTTTCTGCTTTTCGTGGTGCAGAAGAGGAAAGCATAGAATGCCACTGTTGTCGCGAAACAACGAGTCGACGTGAAATTTGTGCCACAGTCCCACGGTTGCAGCAGTTTAGGTTGGTAGTTGAGCTTTTAGAACCTAGGTCTGCTACGTGTGTGCATCGGGACGGAATATTCCCGATTTTCGGAAGTGCTCTTTGTGTGTGTGTGCGTGTGGAAGGCAGGTGCATCAGCATCGATAGATGTGGAATTCCGGGTGCAGCAAGTGGAAAAGTAGCGCATCCGTTGGAGGGAGAATCGAAAACGAAACCACTTTCGATATTTCCCAATAAGCGGATTTGCCACGAATGGCAAAATCCGACACGAAACCACCAGCAACAGTGTTTGTGAAGCTCTGTATTGTGTGCCTTGTTCCGTTTTTTTTTTTTAATGAATGCATGTATTATATATAATAGTTGCTGCGCTGAGCTGCAATTGGTGAATTTTTGAGTGTTTTTGCATTTTATCGAGAATCAGCGCAAATATCGCAGAAAGCAGCACAAAAAGTAGGTAGTGAGATCGAATGTCAAGCCCCAGCCCCGTGAGGCAGTGAGTGCAATTATTGTTCATTAAATCCGGCATTCGGCACCTATATGTGTGTACACTGTGTGAATCATGCTCGAAAAGAAGTGACCGCGAAAGAGCAAAGATCTGCGTGTTCAAGTGCATAACGACGACAACAACAACAACACCCTCTCCGCTTAGCAATCGGCTACTGATCACACTGGGAACGGGGACCTGAAGCAAACCGGAAGTAGCAGTACCAGCAGCAGCCGACGAGATGCCGTTCAAGCTGAAGCTGAAAAAGTCTCGACACTACAATGTCATGTCCAAAAGTTTGTTCGTGATTTCCGTCGATCATCTGGGTGAGTAAACAGCGTCGTAGATAGAGCAACCCACTCCGCTATCATTGTGTAAACCATCCGATGGCTATGGCGAGCAAGGGGCTCGTAGCAGGCTGGCAAAAGTCCGCCGTAGATATAAGTACCAATTAGCATCTCTTTAAATTATACAGTTTTGTACACTGTTATCATTGTGCGCTGATTTCGGATGGTACACAGCGAGAGTTAGAGAGACAGGGAGCTCACCCTACTATTCCATTTGGTTGGGGCCTTTTTTTCCTCTGCTTTTTACCCCGGAATTAGTTGAATCTAGTTTTTTGAAAAAAAAAAATATGCTCCCAGATAGAAATTGCAGGAAAGTATTCAGTTCAACTATAATTGAAATTAATTTTTCAAAAATTGAAATTTTACTACTTGTAAAATCGCATCTCAATTTGTGCTCAAGTAGTGCTCCTCTTCGGCAGACAAAACGGCGTAAGCAGGCTATGCATGACTTCGTTGATAGATCAAACGCGACTTCCACGTGCACTGCACGTATTGTGAGCCACGTGATCAGGCAGATCCATCGTTTCAATCACGATCGACCTACCTTCACCAGAATAGGCCCGAAGTAGTCGACGCCAATATAGGTGAACGGGCGAACACTCGGTAACAGACGTGCATACGGGAGAAGACCCATCCTAGGCACCGTTGGTCTTGCTCTATACACCTTGCACCATTGACATCGCTCGGCTACCTTTCGAGCAACAATTCGTAGTTGAGCAGCGTAGAACCGTTGACGTATTTCGTTGACCACTGTTTCAGAATTGCCGTATAGAATCTTTCGATGGTAGCTGTCTACGATGAGATTGGTGACTCGGGGATTTCTGGGTAATATAACGGGAAACTTCACGTCTACGGGAACCCCCTTTCGCGGCAGATATCCGATCATCGCCCTCGTAGAACTCCTTGTTCATCGATCATTGGTGACAGTCTCCACAGGGGGCTTGACTTCTCCAACTTCATTCGTTCATCCGCAGGAGACGTTTTGCTCTTCGTTAGTATTACCACCTCATCACGATAAGCCTCCGATTGTGCGAGTTTCGAAAGTAGAACTTCCGCAGCCTGCAGCTCCTCTTGCGCCAAGCCTGCACCGCGGTTGCTCGCGTCGGATTTCTTTGGTTTTAAAAAGTTGATCACGTAAGCGGTTGTCCTTAAGAGTCGGTTCCACTTTGAGAAACGTTCGAAATTTATCGGATTGTGCAAGATTTGCACTGCTTGGTGTAGATAGCACGCTCGAAGATCTTCGTCGGTACTATCGAAAAGCTTTTTTTACTGTTTAGGCCATTTTTCTTCGGGCAGTAGTAGAAAAGGTGGACCACTGAACCAGCGGCCAGATTCTTCGAGGCGAGGTCCCTCGCCCAACTTAGTGGCATCATCAGCAACGTTTAGTTTACTCGGAACGTATCTCCAATCCCTGACATTAGTCGCTGATAGAATTTCTCCAACGTGGCAGGCTACGAACGGTCGGTACCTTTCGATGTTCAGAGCAAATCCATGCCAACGTTACTTCGGAGTCTGACCAGTAGACGCAACGGTTGAACTGAGCGGTGTAACTTTCCCTCATGAACGAGAGTAGACGAACACCTATGACCGCCGTCATCAGCTCCAATTGAGGAATGGAGACGTACTTCATTGGAGCAACCTTCGTTTTCGCTGACACCAAAGCACATTCCACCGTCCCAGCCGAGTTGACTACCCGGAAATACACTACTGTAGAATACGCAACTTCGCTTCGACTTCCAATGAATTTTATAGATCGGCACTCGCATTTCGGAAGTAGCACCTCGGTAGCCGAACTTCATTTACGTGTTCCAGTCCGCATCGTGCTCTCTTGCCGTGCGGATCTATTTGCGTTTTGCTTAAGGAAGTGTTACTACTACCTAAAGCTACAACAAATTTAAACAGCACTTTTCAGTGCTCAACCTGTAAAAATTTTCTACCTTGTTCAACTTCTCTTATTCCTCTTCGATCCTTGTTTGGACCCTACCCGAGGTAATCCTTCTTGGATATCGATTTGGAAAATTCCTCTTCGATCCTTCAGATTCTTATAGTAATCTGCTTGGAAGTCGATTTGGATAAAAATTTACTGCCGCCATGGCGCCTAAACGCAAAAGAAAGGGGCAAACTCTTGACCCCCCTTCTGATGAAATTAATTTGAGTAATCAATTTGATTTGCTCACGGATGATGAGAATGATCCATCATCCAAGAAAAATTCTAGTAAACTTTCCCGGCTTAATGCCAAGAAAGAAAAGATTCCCCCTATTGTGATAACCACTACCGATTTCCATGCTCTTCGCATGGAACTTTTGAATTTCGTGAAAGTTAAGTTTTCACTACAAATTGGACGTCGGGGTGAATGCCGTGTATTGGCTGAAACCTTGGACGGATTTAAATGTCTTCTCAAGTATCTTACTGAGAAGAAGCACAAATTTTTTACTTACGACACCAAAACTGAACGTGTGTTCAAGGTTGTCATGAAAGGACTGCCCAGTGGTGAATCCCTGGATCAGATCAAAGATGAACTGACAAAATTACTTGGAGTTGTGCCACTCCAAGTAATCAAAATGAAAATGAAATCCCGTCCTGGCGATTCGCGCAACGGGATTTCTAATGATTTTTATTTAGTTCACTTCAAGTCTAGTGAACTAAACAACCTTAAGGCCTTAGAAAAAGCTAGCCTTATGCTCCATGTCCGAGTGAAGTGGGAACACTTCAGGAAGACTGGAGGAAATTTCCAAAACCTCACTCAGTGCCGTAAGTGCCAGGGATGGGGTCACGGAACTAAAAATTGCTACATGCCAGCTAAATGCATGAATTGTGGTGATTCCTCTCACGCAAAGGACGACTGTCCTGTGAAGGAAGATCCTAAGAAATTTAAATGTTCAAATTGTGGTGAAAACCAAAAATCCAATTTTTGGGAATGTAAGACTCGCAAAGCGATCCTACAATCTCGTTCTAACCGACAGGTAGGAAACGCTCCACGTTTCCGACCAGGTATAAATTCCTCTGCTGTTAACAACGGTCAGCGAGGAACAAATTCTACATTCGTACCCGTAGGTACAAATATCACCCCTGCTTCAAATGTTTCATCTGTACCTACTCCCCTCGCTGCTAACAATGTTCAGCGAGTTAATGGAGCTACCTATGCTGCTATTGCAGCGGGTAGAAATCAAAATACTAACCAACGTTCTAACGGAAATTTTGACAATTTTGACTTAGGAAGCATTACTGCTCCTAAAATGGAATTTTTACAGAATTCATTAATTGACATGATTTCTGATATGCTTAAATCTAACTCCATGTTTGATGCTATTCAAACTGGAGTAAAATTTGCTAATAATATTGTCATGACATTAAAATTCAGTAATGGATTTTAAAGCATTAAACATTTTAAATTGGAATGCTCGATCTCTTAAAGATAATGAAGACGAGCTATTTAATTTTTTGAGAGTTCATAACGTGCATATTGCCGTTATAACTGAAACGTTCCTTAAACCTGACCATAAGGTTAAGAAGGACGCAAATTACTTGATTTATAGAAATGATCGTCTTGATGGACCCTGTGGTGGCGTTGCCATCATTATTCATAGACGAATCAAACATAAAATTCTTTCTTCGTTTGAAACCAAAGTTTTTGAAACTTTGGGAGTTTCTGTTGAAACAAAATTTGGACAACTTACGTTTATAGCTGCCTATTTGCCATTCCAATGCGTAGGTCAGAAAAAGAATTTTCTCAAGGGTGACCTCCAGAAACTTACCCGTCATAGGTCTAAATTCTTCATTATTGGTGATTTTAATGCAAAACACCGCTCATGGAATAATGCTCAAAGCAATTCCAATGGTAATATTCTGTTTGATGATTGTTCTGCAGGTTATTACACTATTCAATATCCAAACAGCCCAACATGCTTTTCTTCTGCAAGAAATCCCTCCACTATTGATTTGGTCTTAACTGATTCATGTCAACTTTGTAGCCAACTGGTTACCCATGCTGACTTCGGTTCTGATCACCTTCCAGTAACTTTTGAAATATCCCAAGAAATAATTTCTAATCCCAACAGCTTTACTTTCAATTACCATAGGGCTGATTGGGAGCAATATCGAACATTTATGGAATATAACTTCGATCCAAACATTTCTTTGCAAACCAAAGATGAAATTAATTATGCTCTTGAATCTCTGACTACTTCTATAGTTGAAGCAAGAGCTGCCTCAGTACCAAAATGCGAGGTTAAATTCGATTCAATTATAATAGACGATGATCTTCAGCTCTTGATCCGTCTTAAAAATGTCCGTAGGAGACAATATCAAAGAACACGCGATCCTGCCATGAAAGTTATCTGGCGGGATTTGCAAAAACAAATTAAAAAGCGATTCTCTGCCCTGAGGAACAAAACTTTTGAAAATAATGTTTCTAAATTAGACCCGAGTTCCAAACCCTTTTGGAAACTCACAAAAATTTTGAAAAAACCTCAAAAGCCAATTCCAGCGCTTAAAGAAGGTGGTAAAATTTTGATCACAAATTTGGAAAAAGCTCAGAAACTTGCTAAGCAATTCGAGAGTTCCCATAATTTCAGTTTGGGTCTTACTAGTCCTATTGAGAATCAGGTTGCTCGGGATTTTCTGAATATTTTCTCTCGGGAAAATATTTTTGATGATTCCTGGGGGACTGATTTGGACGAAGTAAGGTCTATAACTAAAAAATTTCAAAATATGAAAGCTCCAGGTGATGATGGAATTTTCTATATCCTCATCAAAAAACTCCCAGAGAGTACCTTGTGTTTCTTGGTAAAATTATTTAACAGATGTTTCCATTTGGCATACTTTCCTGATAAATGGAAAAATGCAAAAGTTGTTCCAATTTTGAAGCCGGATAAAAATCCAGCTGAAGCTTCTAGCTACCGTCCAATAAGTTTGCTTTCTTCAATAAGTAAACTTTTTGAAAAAATAATTTTGAATAGAATGATGCTTCACATCAATA